TGATATATGGCGCAACACAAAGATATTCCGCTCTGTGCAAACCTTTGACTCTAATATGTCATCAACATGAAACAAGAATATGAACCTGGCTTTAATGTTCACACAAGAGTTCTACATCCTGACACATCCTTCATCTACACTGTCTCAACTGAAAGAGGACCAGAAACACATTAAAAATATAATAAAATGTGGAGACTTTGGGATATTTATCTCCCATTATTTACTTTTCGGACATTTTACAGACCAAACATGTCGTTGATGTCACTGTTTAACTACCACTTTTTCTGAAAAATGCATAAAATGATGCAATATATGTTAAAAACATGGTTTATACATGTAATTACTGGGGTTCCATTTCTTCTGATTACCTAATTTGGGCGTGCACATTTGCCACGAGCAAACCTACCTCTTTTGTATTTGGAAAGGTTGGCATGTATGACAATTGTCCCTCTACTTAGTTTTGTTTAAATGTATGAGTTTGCTTACCAAGATCCTGTTACTGCCCCCTAACTGAATATGGGAAATCTGAAGCTCAAACATGTTGCTATTGCAAATGGAATAATAAAGAAAACCTGTCCAACAGTTATCCGTTAAACCTAACTTTTCCATTTTACATGATGGTGTGAATATGCATTTGAGGAATAAAAGGCCAATCATTTCTTACCATCATCAACGGCATTTGCTTCAGAGTAATTCACAACTTTTGTCTTCCTGTGTGTCAAGGATAAACAACGAGTTAGCGTTAATGAACATTAACAACATCAGACGAGTAAAGAGTTAGGTTTCTAAAAAGGTCTTCACAAACCTTGGTGGTCGGTCCATTGTTTGTTTATCCAGTTTACATTAACCACGTCAACGCTGGGTTAGCTGCTTCTGAAACACAAGCTAATGTTTGTTAGCCTTACCTAGCTTTAATTGTTTCAAATGCTAACGGTACATTCACCGAGTGAATTGTGTCTTCTAGTACTGATATAGCTAACTAGCATGTTAGTTTTGTTACACAGCAGCCAACTGAAGCGCTTATTATTTTCAACCTCCCGCCTGAACCGAGCAGATGTGACGTTGTGTTGACTAATTTGACGAATACCGGCAGCAGATTCGTTTATTAAAATACATGTATATGTGTCTCTTGCAGCCCTTAAAAAATAAGACTAAAGCAGGAAATGATTATCAGTAGGAAGTTGATGTCGAACATTTATAAATATACAAGTGGCACTTATTCCATATTTTTCTTCAAATCTGTTGAATCTGCTTCTGATAAACACCCTGTAGTGCATACTGTATTATTGTTTTATTGCGATGGAGGTGTGCTCAATCTGGTTAGTATTATTCTGTTTTGGGATATTTTGACGTTTTCATAGTATAATATGGGGTCTTAATTATAGTTGTGCGCTAGTAATTATATCATACATGTAATGTGTTGTGGCTGTGAACATCATGGCTATAAAAAATATAGCACCTGGGTTCATTATACGGTCGATCCCATACAGCAGTGACCACCAACTGGCGGCCCGCGGGCCACATTCGGCCCGCCAGACATTCTCATCCGTTTGTAACGGAATAAATGTAACGGCGTTACGTAAATCAGAATACACAAATCAAGTAGGCTAACTGTATTCAGCTGGCGTTACATTTGAAAAACGAGTAACCTGATAACAGTTACTTTCGTAAACCTGAAGTGAATACATTTTGGAATACTTATTGGAATTATTGGTGGAAAAGATTCCTCACAAAATGTAATATTCATTACCGGCAGAACTGTGTGCACACTGCACAGCGCTGCAGCATGTCTCTGAGCAAAAGAGAGATGCAGCGTGTCTGTGAGGCCCCGCCCCCACACGCAGATGAGAGAGAGAGATCTCTTTTAAAATATATTGAAAGTTAGAAACGGAGATGGATAGATAAAATCTGCAAGATAACGTTTTATGTAGTATTTCTTTATTTTCGAAATTATGACATTTCATAACGGGATAAAATCAAAGTGAATGGCCTGCTGCTGCTGAATGCATGGGGCAAGTGACTGGAAAAAGTTTTAAAAGTTATTACATCGTTTCAGATAATAAATAATAATGATAATTCATTCTATTTAGGGGCGCCTTTCAAAGCACCCAAGGACACCTTACAATTCATAACNGACCAATCATTTTAGCCTGGCTAAAGTAACTGGATGGCCTACCTGCCTGTCAACCTTCCATCTGTGCACAAACTTATCTCGTGCCCTCATTGGTCATGTGCACGTTCGTGTCGTGTGTGTTGGAGGAGGGGCTCTGTAAGGAAGTCTGAAGGAAGGGGCAGATTTTTTTCGGCCTCGTACTTTAAAATTCTAGCGCACTCGAGCTGCACTTCTACAATTCTAGCGCACTCGAGCTGCACTTCTACATTCTTACCTGCCCTACCTTTAAGTAGAAAATAAAAATACACCAAAATAATAATGATTTACATAGATCTAACATAGAAGTATCATATATTTATACATGCAAAATATACGGAATATACACATTTGCAGTAAACATACATAAATCCGCGTTGCTAGCTCTACAGTAGCTCCATATTGAATGGACGTATAGGAGAGTGCTATCCATCTTCTCGTTCAACTCCCTGCCAGTCATCCTCTTGCTAACAGACAGTTTTGATGTCTCCCTAGTTGCATGTTGTTTCTCATTATGTAATTTCCTCCGCTCCCCTCTCCCTGCAGCTGATTCTTCTAAAGCGGAAGCTGTTCCCGAGACGCAGAGTGAACAAGGACAGCAACCCTGAGCGGGTGTGAGAGCGAGGAAGACTTCCCTCTCCTCTTCTTTCTGCACTTCAACCACCTCCACCCTTTCTCTCCTGCTCATTGGAGAGGATTCGGACCGGGTGGAAACAGGAGTCTGAAATCCCGCCTGCTTGTGTTGCATCAGCACGGACAGAGGATAGAGACTCGTGTGAGATTGTGATGAAACATTTTTTCATAAGATGATGGATGGGGCTGTCCGGTAAAAGGAGTCACAGCCAGAAAGAAGAAGCGTACAATTCTTCTTTTCCTCCACTGGGGGGCATTTGAGACTTTTGTAAAACACAAACACAAACAAACACAGAACACTCCCTCCACACTGCACCCCCCTCCTCATGTCCTGCCCTCACCACCCTGTGATTGATGTGCTGTTAAAGTGTGAAGCATTTGACAGCAGCTGGTCAGGGCTCTGTGTGTGTGTGTGTGTGTGTGTGTGTCTGTGGGTGTGTATGCAGGTGTGTATGCAGCAAGCACGTTCTACCACAATATCCACAAACTTCTGTGTTTCAAACTCACACTGATTAATGTCACTATTTTCCTAATTGATTGCTCATTTGAGTCACTTTTTCAAGGCAATATGCCAAACATGTTCTTCTTAAATATGAGTTTTTATCATCGAATGTTTCTTTATAATCAGGTTTTGCATCATTGTTCAAACTAAAATAGACATCTGAAGTCATCTTGGCTGCCGAGAAATCATGAGGGGCATTTTTCCCTTTTTTTTTTTTTAAAGACAAAACAATAAATAGAATAAAGAAATTATCGCCTGACGAAAAGCTTGGTACTTACAGCTCTGGATATGATTGGCTTTTAGCGCTATGGCTTCATTTAAAAAAAAAAATAAAAATGAAGGAAAAGGTATATAGAAGGGGAATCAAATAATTGTGTCGGTAAAAAATATGAAAACTTGAAGTGCCTTTGTTCATTCCTGCTTGTTGAACGTTTTTGTTTCTTTCCTGTTGTTTTTTAAATGTTTCACACCCTAATCTAAGGATTTATAATGAGAATGAATGGGATAATATGGTTTAAAATGTGGTACAAATGTAAATGATTGTTGGAGCAACATGTTCGTGGTGCTACAGCGTTCATAGCCACCTGTGTGTGTGTCTCTGTGGGACTCAACAGGCTCGCTACTGTCTGAAATTCAGACCCCTCAGCATGTTGTGTAACTTATTTTGATTGTATTATTGTGACAGTGAGCCGGTGACTGATGCATCTGATGTTAAATAAAGCAGAATGTAAACATAGCCTCAGACAATGCACGTGCCATAACGGTCACGTGTATTATCTCTGATGTCAGCAGCAGTGAACTACATATCTGGAAAATCAGCTCAGTGACTCATCTGACGGAAATAAAATGTGGTTTCAGTTATCCTGGTGTTTTTGTCATTTGTTCAAGTGCACTTTGAGGTACTTGATTTTTTATATTTTGTGCTACTTCATTATGTCTTACGTTTGTTTTGATATTGTAATGTGAACAACACTGCATTCATGGTAACAACCATAATGTATTCCTTTGTTCTGAAACCATGTAATTAGATTCAAAAAGCTTATCTTGATATTATATCTTTGAAGTTGACTTATTGGCTTAGATACTTTAAAAAAAAAAGAAAAAGTTATTTGATACTCAAACAGGTAAAAATATCCAAACTTTCTCAAAAACAAGACATACAGCTCTGTCAGATATACAGTTCCAGTTACTTAGGAACATCAATGCTTTCAGCTAAATGCTAACGCCAATATGCTAACACCAGTAGCTACAGTAACAACGCACCACATGAAAAATATTTTTCTTTATTACAATCTTTTCCACCCATACAGTTTCTGTTAGTAGAAAGGTGTTTTACTGTTATTATTGAACAGTGCAACATGGTGTTGAAATCAAAGTCGTACATTTCAATGCATAGTTCCAAAGTCCATCGTCAATTATGCAAAATCATCTTTTTTTTTTTAGAACATGCTGCTTTTCAATGTCCAATATCCTGCAGGAGCAGAACCTCAGAGGAAGATCATTTTATTTCTCCAAAATAAAACTCAAGAGTACCATTGTCTTTACCCTTATATATAGTTAAGCGGCATTACAGAAATATCCCTTTTGATCCAAATGAACCTGAATAATGAGTCGATCAGATTACAGGAACTCAGTAATGTTAAATAAATGCAAAATTACTGATAATCCAACAGATCTTTCAAGGACCAAATGAATCGCTCACCGATACATGACACAATAAGTGAAGAAACCATGAGTGAACAGTTCCAGTAGCGTCGTGTTATTACTATTGTCTGGTATGATACTTCAGTGGAGAAAAAAAAACACATACAAAGCTGTTTTAAATATTCACAAGTTAAACAGTAATTACAACAAAAATATTTAAGGCGTTTTCAGTTGAATTCTGTACAATCACAAATAATTAACTATTAGCCCTTCAGGGAGAAGAACAGAGAAAGCAGTACGTGTCGAGTGTTAGTGCTTCATCAGGCGACAGCGCTCTAAGAGGCTGAGGTGAGTGTGTTTACGTTCTTTTTCCAGGATTGCAATATGAGACGAGTAACTGAGAATAAAAACATGAATTAAAAGTTTGTATGAGAGGCCTGATAGAAAAGCCGTCGTAATGTTTCAACACTAACACCGCCCGTAGCCCCGTCACATAGCGCGTTGACAACTTGCCAGTCCACATTGCAAACTTCATTGGATAATATTTGAGGTTTTTATTATTTAAATTTGCATTTTTAAGCCCTGATTAATGCCAGATTGAGTAACATTCATTTTATAAATAAAAACTAATTAAGAACACTTTCAGGTACTGCATTTAGTATGGGCATATATCAAAGAGCTTTACCTCATTTGCAGTTCTATATATTTATGTATTTAAATGACATAACAGATTTTCAAACACAATTTAAAGCAGATAAATGCTTTGATATTTGCCCAAACTATAAAGTACCTGTTAAAGATTTTGGTATTTGATTAGAGTAAGCAGGGAGTAGATGTAACAATCTAAACTTTATTTTTCTGACAACATGCAATTATGTCTAAATTAAAATATGTTTGGCTACAACAGCCAATGAGGAAATTGAGGGAAGCTCTGGTTCCGTGTTCTTTTTTCATTCAATATCTTGATCCATGCTTTTTTTTCCTTTTTTTGGTTTGTAGTGATGAGTTGGTTTTATGTTTCCATTTTGTGAGAGAGGCAGTTTCAATCGGATGTGGTCACTTTGTCAAGGCTGCAGTGGCTCAGGGCAGAGGAAGGTCTATCCTCGTCATCGCCTGCTTTCAGGAGCGGGGAGAGGTCTGCGTCCCCCCCCGCCTCCTCCCGCCGGGCAACCGGTCAGTCGTGCTTGCCGTGGCTCTGCGCCGTGATGCTGAACACTCGGATGCGCAGATGGGAGGCGATCTGGAGGCACACCCCCGTACAGTAGCGTGCGAGATCAACTAGAGAGAAGACCTGGAGGAAGATGGAGGCGATCAGACATCAAAGGCTGGATACAAATATACTATAAACTTCACTACACGGGCATGGGGAATGGGAGAGATCAGCATCTGAATTCATTATGTATATATAGATATATATATATATATATATATATATAGGAATATATATATATATATCTCTATATGAGAATCAGAATCAAGTTTATAGCCAGGTAAGTTTACACATACAAGGAATTTGCTTTGGTGTCTGCTGGTGCGAACATAAACAATCTAAGAAAGTTGCAATAGTAGGTTAAAATAAAGATAATAAAAATAAGTACTTTTAAGAAACTATTTAGCATTCAAAAAAGAATACAAAAGAAAGGTGAGGTAGGTAAGTTTGAGAAACCGGCTCGAGATACACTTTTTATTATATTCCATGGAATGCTCTTAACATCCCGATAGCAATGAATATCTTAAGTGCTTTGACAAAACATCGATAAGAAAAAGTCATCTGTGGAAGCCGTAGTACTGTAAAAAGCACGACACGAAGGCCAATTATGACATTTCGAAACTGTACTTTCCTATTCCAGTTTTTGTCCAGTTACGGTGGCAAGGTATATACACTAAACGTCCCACTTACACCATTTCATCATGATCTTATTCGTATTGTCAACCCGTTTAGAGTGATGAAACTCAAGGTTTCACGGTACCCTTTCTTCTTCAACTTCCTCCATTTTGAAATTGTTAACCATAAACCTGGTTGCACCAATGACGGACATGTAAAATAGTTTTTCAATCCAACGGTTCTGTAACGACCGTCAAAAAAGAAAAATTTTCGCCAAAAACCAACCGTAGGTGAATTTCTGCGTGGGGTGTGTCCCACACTGCCCAAGAAAGACCTACTAATCACTGGAGTTTAGCCGGTGTCCACACAGGTCATGTAATTAACGTGGGCGTCAAGACAACATTTACGACCGAGTGAACCCTAAATGATTTGTTCCTAATCCCCTGTAACAATTACAATAGTTCAATGTGGACACTAAAAGGATGATTCTTTTTTCGTTTTCCTTACTATTTCACCAATCATCAACTTGGTTTCCAAATTAGTCCATATAATTTCCAAGACCCCATACATTTAAACCCCTCTTTGGTCGAAGTTCACGCCGATTCATAAACTTTATGTGTTGGCCTTCTTTTAGCGGTGTGAAGGAAATGTCTCCGGGGAGGAGGTTGTGTGTGCTTGCGCGTGTACTGGTTACTCCCCGTGCTCTAATTCAAACCACGGTGTCTACCCTTCGACTGTCCGTCATCCCGGTTAGGGTCAATAAAACCGGCCCGGCCGAA